ATATGAGTCAATGGGAGCCATACTTTTCTTTTTTAAAAAGATTTACTTCTATGTGCATTGGTGTTTTGCCTGTGTGTAAGCCTGTGTGAGGGTGTCAGGTCCCCTGGAACTGGAGTTACGAACGGTTGTGTACTACCATGTTGGTGCTGGGAATTGAACCCAGGTCCTCTAGAAGAACAGCCAGTGTTCTTAACCTGAGCCATCTTTCCAGCCCTTTGGCGGCCATTCTCATTCAAACCACCACGACACTCCACCTGCCCTGTTGGTACAATCAGGCCTGATAAAGGCTTCTCTTACATGGTTTGCTGGTGGCGGCTTGAAGGCTAAAGCATCCTCTGCATGAGTGCTTGACTGTTGAAAAGATGGGGAGACTTCTAGGAGGTTGATCGATCCCTTAAGAGGTTGTGTTAGTAAGCAGCAGATGCCCATACCAAAGTGACCCCAGATTTACTTGGCACCCATCCCACTGTGTGCCCAAAGCCCTGCCAGTCAGTAGCAGTCACTAGGTGGCAGTCGGAGTCAGGTTGCCATGCAACTGAAGAAGCATCTGCTCAAGAGCAGTCAGAGTTGGGGAGACGACCCAGTGAGTAAAGTGTCAGGACCTGAATTTAAATCCGCAGTACACACATTAAAGCTAGGCGTGCTGGGCGTAGTGGTGCACACCTTTAATCGCAGCACTAAGGAGGCAGAGGCAGGTGGATCTCTGTGAGTTTGAAGTCAGCCAGCTCTAATAGCAAGTTCCCAAGCAGCTGGGATACACAGGGAGATCTTTTTCTCAACAAACAAGCGACCAAGTGCCTGCATACAGATTATATGCAACGCGAAAACTTTTAGTATCTTGAATAAATTTGTCTTCCCCATTCTCCTAACAGCCTTGCTTTCTTTTGGTTGCAATTTTCTCTGTCTCCAGTATGTAAAATGCATCTCTGAACCCTGGAAACTAACAGCCCTACTCTCCAGTGACTTCTGGCTGACCCATGGCTTAGTGATTCAGAATCTCTGGGCTTTGAGCATGAAATACCAGGGCTTGTTGTGCACACCTGTAATCACAGCACTTGGGAGGGATGGCAGGAGGAACAAAGTTTGAAAGTTCAAAGTCATCCTCCGACACACAATACAGAGTTCAAGGTCACGGTGGGTTACGTGAGAACCGTAACAGCAACAGAAACACAGCACAACACACATCCAGAGAGATCAAGTACTGGCAGACGCCCCGCCCTTCAGCAGTGTCAAGCACATACTGAGCATGCGCTACTCGCCTACAGAAGCCGGGAAGGAAGGGGGCGGGCCGTGGCTGGCGGGCGCGAGGAAAATGGCGGCGGCGGCGGCGGCGAACGGGAGCGGAGGCAGCAGCGGCATGGAGGTGGATGCAGCAGGTAACCGGCTGTGCGGAGCGACTTCTGGAGTCGCCTTTGCGGAGTATCTTTAGTACTTCTTAAACCCGGGAGAAGCGACATCTCTCCCAGGATAACTTGCGGGCAGGGATGGACGGCCCGGCTCTGCCGGTCCCCTACTCCCATGTCTAGGAGAGAATGTGTGGGCCTGAGCTTTTCACCCGCTATGTTTTCCTTTCACCCTTAACAGTCCCCAGCGTGATGGCCTCCGGAGTGACTGGGAGTGTTTCTGTCGCTCTTCATCCCCTTGTCATCCTCAACATCTCAGACCACTGGATCCGCATGCGCTCCCAGGAGGGGCGGCCTGTGCAGGGTGAGTGTTGCGTGTAAGTTTCAAACCCTCCTCTTGGAGACCTCCTCCAATCACTTTTCCTCTGCCTCGCCTTTCTTCCAAATTAGTTTCCCCAATCATTGATTCACACTGACCTCAGAGCCTCGGGTTATTAGGAGAGGTTTGGAATGCCTGTCCCTCACCAATTTTCCGTGTGTTTCTCTCCCTCTCAGTGATTGGGGCTTTGATCGGGAAGCAGGAGGGGCGAAATATCGAAGTGATGAACTCCTTTGAGCTGCTGTCCCACACCGTGGAAGAGAAGATTATCATTGACAAGGAATATTATTACACCAAGGAGGAGCAGTGTGAGAGGGGAATAGAAGTGGGTGGGAACGAGAAGTGGGAAGATTTTTTTTTTTGTTTGGTTGTTTGGTTGGTTTGGTTTTAAGAGGGCTGGGGATGTGGGTCAGTGGGTAGAGGGCTTGCTCTAAACATGCAGGAAGCCCAGAGTTCAGTCCTCAAGTACCATATAAACCAGGAGATGGAGACAGGAGGATCAGAAGTAAAATGTAACCTTCAGTAAGTAAAGGATGAGCGATGGCAGACTAGAAAGGTGTAGTTACTCTAAACTGAGCCAAAAGAAATACATCAGGTCAACCAAACTAAGGAAGAGCGATTTAAAGAAATATTGTTTACTCTGGCCCCTTCTCCAGTTAAACAGGTGTTCAAGGAGCTGGAGTTTCTGGGTTGGTATACCACAGGGGGGCCGCCTGACCCCTCCGACATCCACGTCCACAAGCAGGTATACAGGCTCAAGTGTGTACATGTTGGGAAGAGGACAGAAGATGAGGGGAAGAAAAGTGGACTCTTTCTGGGTCTTGTCTTTTCTTCCAGGTATGCGAGATAATTGAGAGTCCCCTGTTTCTGAAGTTGAACCCCATGACCAAGCACACAGACGTGAGTATTGCTGACTCCGAGTCCCCTTTGTCTTGATCAGCTACCACTATGCCTGGTTTTTCTCCTCATGCTCTGCTCTAGTTTACTCTGTGACATCATCTGTTAGTGAATGCTTCGGTTGCATCTCCATGCTGCTAGTTACCCATCAGTTGTAGGACTTAGTCTCTTAAGGGCCATATTCATATGTAATGTGGGTAAAATCGACTCCAGTAGGTTCTGGGGAAATCAGGGGAAATGTGAGCCAACCATTGTGACACACTTGTAATCCATCTTCCCACTCAGGAGGTTGAGGCCAGCGTGGCACACGTGTAAGTTCAAGTGCGTTTGCTCTTAGTAAGAGTTGTTCCGTCTCCATCTGTTTTACAGCTTCCTGTCAGTGTTTTTGAGTCCGTCATTGATATAATCAATGGAGAGGTAATACCCACCCTGTAATGTTCAAATCCTATTTCCTGCATGTCATACACATGTGTGCATGTCACAGGACAACCCTGGATGTCCGTCCCAGCTTTTTGCCTTGTTTGCCAGGCCGGTTGTCATGTGAGCTCCTGGGAATTCTGTCTCCACTTCCCATCTTGCTGTAGGAGTGCTGGGAGTCCAGACACATGCTATCACATCTAGCTTAGCGTGGGTTCTGTGGCTCTAAACACACATCTCAGATTTGTGCAGCAAGTGCTCTACCCGCTAAGCCACCTGCCCAGTCCCATTTCCCAATTCTCACTCTCCCTATGTGGGAATCCTTTACTCTGCAGGCCACAATGCTGTTTGCCGAGCTCACTTACACGCTGGCCACTGAGGAAGCTGAACGTATTGGTGTAGACCATGTGGCCCGGATGACAGCAACAGGCAGTGGGGAGAACTCCACGGGTAAGGGAGGTGAATTCTTTGGAAGCGTGGGAGGTTATGGTCGCATACCTTCTTTCATTTGCCCCATTCCCCTGCAGTGGCCGAACACCTGATAGCTCAACATAGCGCCATCAAGATGCTGCACAGCCGCGTGAAGCTCATTTTAGAATATGTCAAGGCCTCTGAAGCAGGTAGGACAGGTGCCTCTCTGTCGCTTTTAACCATTTTCCCTCCCTCCTGGAGAAGTGACAGTATCCACATCAGTGCAGCCTCATTATACCCTTAGGAGAAGTTCCCTTCAACCATGAGATCCTGCGGGAGGCCTATGCCCTATGCCACTGTCTTCCGGTTCTCAGCACAGACAAGTTCAAGACAGACTTTTATGATGTGAGTGTTAATACCTGTGATGGGGTGGTGGGGCTCACAGCATCACTCTTGCAGGCAGGAGGTGAAACTCAGTTGTCCTTGGCCCTAATGTGAGGGATCCCTGGGGAACTGGTTCTTTCTGTTCCCTCCCAGCAATGCAATGACGTGGGGCTCATGGCCTACCTCGGCACCATCACCAAAACGTGCAACACAATGAACCAGTTTGTGAACAAGTTCAACGTCCTCTACGACCGACAAGGCATCGGCAGGCGAATGCGGGGACTGTTTTTCTGATGAAGGTTCTGGAAGGGATGATGTACAGGGCTCAGATAACTGTTCACTGGGACTGGGCACTACATTCCCCTTAGAGAAACTGTCATTAATAAAAGAGCAGCCCCTTAGCAGCCCTTCCATGGCTTTGTCCTACCAGTACCACCCTGGTTTTTCAGCTTGGAATTCTCAAGGCAGCCTTGCTCAGAGGCAAAATCCAATCACCCGCACTTACCCACCTTTTAAGGATTTGAGGTAACCCCTTGTCTAGGTAGGCAGAATGTGGTAGGACTGCTTGTTTCCAGTTCTGTGATATGAACTTAAATAGGCCAACCCACAGAAATGAGAAATGACTGCTTTCTCAAGCTAGAAAGGGGAGGGATACCAAACCCGTCTTCGTAATTATGGATAATTTGCATTAGCAAATCCTTGGTCCCGTGGACACCGGAAATTAGCAAGGGGCAATGATTTATTTGCATCTCGGCTTTAACATTTCAACCCAGCTATGAGATGTCCACTTTAGTCATTTCTTGTGCCAGGTGCTACTTTTTATGTTCTCCTTCACCTGCCATTCCACCACCCTGAGTTAGGCAGGGATTCAAAACATTTCAAGAGGGCTGGAGATGGCTCAGAGGCTAAAAGTACTGACTGCTCTCCCAGAGGTCCTGAGTTCAATTCCCAGCAACCACATTTCAAGAAAGGAGTGGGCAATGGGCCCCTGGACCTCATCCTGACACATAGATTAGGGGAAGAGAGACCCAAGAGCTCCACGGGCTCCATTTAGCCTGAGTTACTGACTGGGCATGTGGCAGGGCAGCATAGAAACTTGCCTTGGTAGAAGAGAATATGCTCAGAAGGGTGTAGCTCTTTCCTCAATCTTAACAGAACAGAGGCCCAAACATGATCAAAACACTTTATTAACAAACACAATTAAAAAGTGCAGCATGGGAAAATGGGATCTTCCCCTCTGGGGCATCAAGCACACACTCTTGGGGTGGTGGGTGGGCAGCAGGGCCTTAAAAGCTGGCCATTGAAGGTGAGCCTCAAAGGTAGCCATCAGACAAAAGTGATCCTTGTTCGAGAAGTATTGACTTGCCAGACGTTTAGCTCCTCATATTCATCCAGAGCTGCCTGGAATTGGGCTGGTGTGAAACCACGTGATATGCAACGCTGCTCAGCCTCAGAAAACCGGACACTTCGTCCCCCTGAGACCAATTCACGGACTGTGGCAAATATCACATCTGCTGGCCTCTGGGTCCTGAAACATGGATGGAAAAAAAAAATCAGGGTACAGGGTACAGTGCAGAAGCCACAAAGCCAGTGACCAGCTCACTATCAATAAAGTCAAGCGGCCCAGTTTCATTCTACATTAAGACACGCACCTAGCTGTTGGTCCCTTTTCACCCAGAAGGGAGTCCTTTGACATCTCCATCAACCTTATGGCTTCATTTACATCTTCCTTTTCCACGATATCTACCATTCGGAGGCGAGCCTAAGGGGGGAAGGCAGGAAAAAGATTGGGATAGGAGGGGAAGAAAGGGAATAAAGTCAAGAATCTTCCTTGCTCCAGCTTCAAGGTTGGGCAAGCCATGTTTTTGCCTACTAAAAACAAAAATGGGGACTCCTCCCTGCCCCCCACATCTGCAGTGTTGGGCCGGCACTGTCAGACCGAGACAAGTGCAATGCCCAGGGCAGCTTCCAGCAATTGCCCAAGTCTCCGCCTCTCAACACTGGCCAGTCCCGGTGGGTGTTCAGCTGTCCTGTGAGGGAGACCAAACCCTTCTGAACTCCACTAGGTTCCCCATCATGACAAATGGAGCCTGGGGAGCTCAGCTAGGGTCACTGTCAGAGAGGTTGTGTCCTGGGGGCTCGGGAAGTGCTAGCTCAGCAGTAGGTCAGGTAATTACACTACCTGCACGAACAGCACTTTGGAGCCCCCATGACTAAGATCCAAGAGGGACGGACAGAATGGAGATTTCTAAGACCGTATCTAGGACATCAGGAATTCAACAAGTCCTTCTGCCCCTCTTGGATTTAAGTAGCAAGCAGCCTTTCCCTCCATGGGTGCTGTATGTGCCCTGCTGGAGCAGCAAGTACCCACAGTGCGGTAGCACAGAGAGGACCACTATCTGCACTGTCAGCACTTTAGCCCCAGCAGGGCTGGTGGGAGGGAGCAGGCAGCCTGAGGGCCATTAAGGTGAGGTGGCAGGCAAGGGTCAGCCTTCCAGATGACAGGGATACTGCACTCACCAGAGCAGTAGAAAGTCGGAGAATGGCCAGCAGGGTCCGGGCAGAAGTATAGGTGGCATCCTTACTGGCCCGGGCCTCTCGCCGCATCTCCACATATGCTGCTGTGATGTAGTCAGCCAGAGATTCAGGCACCGTGGGCTGCCTCTCGCGGCACATGGCTATGTAGCGTCTGTGGGAAAGCAGAACACAGGCATGCTTTATAGATTCCCTACTTAATATTCTGTGCAGGAAGTGGACAGCTATTTGCTTGGGCATCACTGAGGGACTTCTCCAAACAGGGCTGCAATTGCTTAAGCAACTTCCAGCTTTTCAGGAAAATGACATTTACAAAAGCAATGGAAAACCACCTGTATTGGTTCTGAACTTCACAAAGGAAAGAAACTTCAGAGACCCGGTGGGAAAAAAACCCTGAAGATGACTGAGATACTCAGGACCTCTGGAAGAGAAGCCAGTAGGCCCTAAGGTCTCTTTTTTTTTGGGGGGGGGGGCGCTCCATCCCCACAGATTTTCTGAGTATAGCTCTGGCTCTTAGAACTCATTCTGTAGACCAGGGCCTTGAACTCGGAAATTTGCCTGCCTCTCTCTCCCAAGTTCTGGGATTAAGAGCATGTGCCACCACTGCCCAGCAGATAGTTCTTTTATGTATAGGGAGGGGTAATTTTTGGAGACATTCCTAAAAGATCTCAGAAGATCCTCCTGTCTCCATGGTAGCTAGGATTACAGTCCTGCTGCTCCATCACCCCAAACCAGAAAAAACTTCTGATGATGCCCTGCCTTGTGTGGCTAGGCTACAAAGTGAGACCTGGATTCACTCCCCACCCTACCTCATAAGCTTCATGTCCAAAGGCTCAAACTGGGCAGGGGGCTGCCGGCTGTGCTGGTGAACATAGGTGATATGCTGCGCCAACCTGGAGAGAACAGGCAACATTCTTAAAGAGCTACTACACACCCTGAGGTTCCGGCGCAGGATCCCTTCTTCTTAGCCCCTCGTCTTCGCCACAGTACAGCAGAGATAGGCCTCCAAGAACCTCATCTCAGCCCCAGCCTTCCATCTCCCTAGGAACTGTGACAAGAAATAGTGGCTGATGTGTCCATGCAGACAAGTTGAGCAGCTTTGGGATTTTACCTACCCACCACCCAAACCACTAAAATGGACTGTTTCTATGGGTATTGTACTTCATTCACCGGAGGTCATTGTCTCGGTCAGGCCGGTCCTGAATCAGCCAGAGAAGGTCGAATCGGGAAAGCAGAGCAGCAGGAAGCTGTATGTTCTGCTCCAAGCTCCGCCGGGGGTTGTATCGTCCATAGGCAGGATTGGCAGCAGCCAGGATAGAGCATCGGGCATTGAGTGTGGTGAGAATCCCTGCCTTTGCAATGGAGATGGTCTGCTGCTCCATGACCTCATGGATGGCTGTGCGGTCAGCTTCGGCCATTTTGTCAAACTCATCAATGCAGCACACACCTTGGTCAGCCAGCACCAGGGCACCACCCTCTAAGGTGAGTTCCCCACTCACAGAGTCTCTCAGCACAGCTGCTGTGAGGCCCACTCCAGAGGAGCCCCGGCCTGTTGTGTACTGACCTGCAAAGAGAAACAGTAGACCATTAAAGGAAGGAACCACTTTCCCAGGCCTTCCAGAGGCCTTAGTGTTTCAAATAAACACTAAGCCCCATTCCTGCCCATACTCACTTCGGGGGGCAAGACGATCAATATAAGATAGGAGCTGAGATTTGGCCACACCAGGATCTCCCATAAGGCAGATGTGGATGTTTCCTGGAAAATGGGAAGGAAGCCTAAGTGACATGCTCAACCCAAGCCGTCTACCTGGTTCCCCTCCTAAACTCCATACTATTTCTTCTAAGACACAGACAACCATGATGAAGCCAAATCATCCATTCTTTACAGAACACTTAGTCATGTGATTCCTTTTCACCTCTTTATAGAACACTTGGTCACATGATCCCCTTTCACACTTCCAAACCACCCCAAGTCTCTCTCTTGTCCTTACCCCTGATCTTCATGCCTTGAGGAGACTGGTCTACCCCACCCACTAGGAGCAGCAGCAGCGCTTTCTTCACATCTTCATGCCCGTAGATCTCCGGAGCAATAGAAGCAGCCAGCTTTTCATAGAAATCCTCTTCTGCAAAGTTAAGCCACAGCATTTACCCCAGGACAAAAGCTCGGTTAAGTCTCAACTCTCACCTTGACCTTGCAGCCTCTCACCTGCAATCTGCTTTAGTTCCTCCCTGCTCAGCTCTCCGGTCCCAGCTGCATCATCCTCACTCTTTGTCATCTTCACAATCCGGTGGGCTTCCAGAAAGGTCTCTGACAGTAAACCCTGGGCAGAAGAATGGCAGCATGGGAAAGGCTTCTCTTTAAACTGTCATCAGCAGAACCCCTAAGAATTTTTTTTAACAACCACAAGTTCCACCTTACTGGTTTTACTTTTTGAAGGGTGTGAAGAGAGTAAGTGGGTGAATGAGGCAAAAAGGGAACAATTTTCTCATTTCAAAACTCTCACCTGTGCCATCTGTTGGAATCCTGTACGCAAGATTGGCAAGAAGATACCAGTGACACTGACATGGTCCCCAGGCTGGGCAGTCCTTGTGTTTTCTCCTTGTAAAACCACTGTGATGCTACGAGGTATGTTTCCCACAGGAACTTGATCACTCTAGGAGATCCGAGGACAGAAACATGAGACAAGGAGAAAGAGAGGCAGACAAGGACCATTTTATGGTAAGACTCAGCTAGTCCAACCTAGAAGACTTCAGGAGGGAAGCTGAGCTTACTCTCCTCCCAGCTCAACCTGAAAACTTCAATTAAATCATTTCTTGACTTCCTGCCTAAAAGCAAGAGTACAAACTTCTAGTTTAACTTTATTCCCACTATAGATGACTTTTCCTCCCCAGTTCTTCACTTATCTTTCTTCCTGCCACTTATATCTGACTGCAGGGTTCACATCTCCCAAACTCACATGTTCTTGAATCTTCATTTCCTGGAATTTAACAAATTTGGAACCACGAGTCTGCAGGTATAGCCGCCCTCCTGAGCGGTTGGTTTGGCACTCCTGGCTGGGACACATGATCAAAGGCATGAAGGTGGGAGATTGGATCTAGACATGAAAGGAAATAGGAAACCAAAACCCCCTTACTATCACCATAGGAATCACTTCTGCTCTGTAATGAGACATTCTGAAGGCACAAGAACCCCTTGAAATATTCTGAGTTAAACAAAAACACCGATAAAATGACCAGAGAGAACAGACCACTACCAAAGAATTCAAGAATGAATACCGCAACACTTTTTGTAATTGTTAGAGAGAAAATGACAGACACCATGAACCCAGACAGTATTTTCCTATTTCCTACCGTATACATACCGGTTGATAAGTCTCTGCCCCACACTGATCACAAGTGTATGTGGCCACCACCATCCGGGGCTTGACTTCAGAGACACGAGTGACGATCCCACGCACAGTTACCAATTTCCCCACAGAATCAGCCCGTACTTCCCGGATCACTCGAGGCTTGCTGCTACTTGGGCCTTGGAAATACAACTCGCTAAGAGAAGGAAACATTTGTCAGCAAGGTCCTGGAGAACAAGTCCCTGGCCTTACCCACAAAGACACTCACTCACAATCTACGCATGAGTTCAGAAGGATACTGGTTTTGAGGGTTCCGGACTGCTCCAGGGTCTCTGCTCCGCTGCTCCATCATTAGCCGGTGCTCAATGTATACATCCAGGACATCTTTACTCACCACCTAAAGAAAAGGAACGTGAGAGGCAGGAGAGAAAAAGAAGAGTACAGGGGAAACCAGGCAGGAGAGCTCAGAAGCCAGCAACCCACCTCCTTCTCCTTGTACTCAGGCAGAAGCTCTTGCACAACATCAGCAAACAGCTTTGAGTAGCGCTTGGCATTCTCGCAAATTGAGTCGACCAACTCAGGGTCATCTTCAGCTACGTCATCTAGGTCCACGTATAATGCCACTTGTTCCCGATGAGCCAGATGAACCTGAGGCAAGGAAAAAACAGTAATCTTTAGGGTCAGGTTTTACCTCACAAAAGCTCATCTAAGTCACTGGCCACCCCCCAGAGAGTAAAGAAACACAGTAGAGATACTTTTCAGCTCTGAAAAGAATTTCCTCACTCCTAAAAACATTTTTGTTTTTATGAACGTGGTGTCATACCCACGTATGAGGCAAGTACTCTGCTAAACTAGCCACTCGGTCTAGCATGGTGGTGTGCCTGTAACCCCAGGATTTGGGATGCACAAGACAGGAGGATCAGGAGCTCAAAGCCAGTCCAGGCCACACAAACAGTATCTCTGAAACCCAATAGCTAGGAATGGAAGAGATGGCTCAACAGGTTAGGTACTTGCCAACCAGCCTGAAGAACTGAGTTTGATCCCAGAACCCACATGGTGGGCAAATGGACCCCCACAAATTGTCCGTTAAACCTCCACGCTTGCTATGACATGTCCATGTAATTCCACACACATTCAAACAAATATAACACCCACACCTAAATAGAAGTAAAAATCTTTCTACAAAACAACCAAACTCAAGCCATTCTCCAAAAGCCATACTTGCTGTAACATGGTAGGCCGCCCCCATAAGTTCTCACATTGCACTCCAACTGCCCATAACCAACCCTGGGACTTACCAACTGGGTCCCATACTTGAACTGCTTCTTTCCAAGTTCATCATCATAATAAAACTCTTGCAGGAACTTCCTAACTTTTTCTGTAAACAAACGTTAGAATCAAAACCAAATCTTCGGGGACAGTGAGTTGTAAAGATCACTGCTGCCAAGCCTCAGGATCCAGAGTTCAATCCCCGAGCCCACCCACAGTTAGAAGAGAACCGACTCCCGCTGCTGTCCAACACCCACGTGTAAGCCGTGATATACTCGTGCAGCACACACGCGCGCTCGCACACACAATAATGTACCAAATATTTCAGACACAATCTTTCTTTTGGGTTTTTCACATTCTTAACGCAAAACTAAGAACCCGGTTTCATTTAAGATGGGAGCTGTAAACTCATCAGTTAAATGAACATTCAAAACAAGCCTAGCTAGTTCTCCCCCAAGTAGGCAGTACTCCTTTCACAAGTCTGCTCTTTCCTGGGGAAGAAGATAGGTCCCCGGGCAGTTACAAGAGTCTTACTCCAACCTTCTCAAGAGATTTTCGCTCACTGCCTTAGTAGTCTGTTTCTTTAATTCTCTCAGCTCGCACACAATCGACTCTCAAGAGTCGGCTCTCTTCCATCAGGACAACTCTTTTTCTTCTGCTCCCGCCAGGACGTCCGCCACTAGGCCTCCTCGGCACCCCACACCCCGCTCCCGCCACTGCTTCCGCTCTTAGTAAACAAAGAAGCACATGGGCCCGGATTCCAGCCGCCTCACAGCCCAGGATTCCTCCGCCCGAGGCGGGTGGCCGCACGGCGATTGGCCAACACGCCAAAGGGCCACTCGGGTCCACTTCACTGCCATCTCTCGCCGCCGGGGGCTCAGGCTCACAACCCCAGGCACGCCCCTACCCACGGCAGCAATCGCTGAGGCCACGGCGCGGAAGGACACTGTTTACACACGACACTCCCTCCGACAGAGCAGCGCCACTTCCGCCCGCCTCTACTTCCGTTTGGAGGGCGGCCTGAAACAACCAATCCCGGCGCGTAGCGGCCTGGCAAGCCCCGCCCCCGAGCCCCGGCGCGGCTCGAGTGGGCGCGGGAATTCTCTAGCGCCCCAAAAGCGCAGAGGCAGGCCCGGTTTCCCGGGGCCTCAGACCACGTATGGAAGGTTCCACGTCAACCAGTGTCTCTCTGGAGCGCCCCTCCTCTCCGCGGCCTCCGCTGGGTCCTCCCCGTCACACCACCACATCACCTTCTCCAGGCAGGATCGCTCCCGTCCTGATGCCCCCTACACTTGTCCCAGGCGCGGTCCGCCTGTCCCCAGAGTCACAGACCCCAGCTGCCCGCAAGACCCCAGCTCCCCCCAACAGGTGCAGGTAGAGAAGTTTCCCTCGAAGAACGCCGCTCCCTGCCCTAGAGCATATCACCTTTCTCGATCGCGTAGTCCTTAAGCGCCATCGCTGCCGGGGACCGTGAGACAGGAGCGGGCGAGCTGAGAACTCTCACTCCGGGGAAGCAGAGACCGAGCGCGCGGCGCGATGTAACCCGACCAACCGAAATTGGCGCGAAACGTCGTCACTCACGTGACCCATGCCGTTGAGTACCGGCCAATCAGAGCGGTGTTCCCCCAACCGCTGCCGACACCCAGTTTTAACCAATCACTGTCCGAGAATGTGTTGAGTGACAGACGACAAGAGGGCGGGCCGGAGGAAGATTGCCAGGCCCTGTCGGGTTGGGCCCCGCGTTTCCCGCGGTTCAAAATTACTGCTTGCCTGTGTGGGTGTGGGAGGAGTGTTTCTTAAAGCGCCAGCCTCCGTGCGTCCTTTTGTTCCGCGACTGCAGGGCGGAGTGGCTTCAACTTTCACCGTCTTCTTGTCTGCCCTCCAGAACGGCCATGATTTCCCAGTTCTTCATTCTGTCCTCCAAGGGGGACCCGCTCATCTACAAAGACTGTATCCTTGACCCGCGAGCTAGGGAGGAGTAGCTGGTAGAAATCGAACCCAGAGTCATCCTGTGTCGCCTGCTCCTTAACTACCCTTGCAGTTCGCGGGGACAGTGGTGGTCGTGATGTGGCCGAGCTCTTTTACCGGAAGCTGACGGGACTGCCTGGAGGCGAGTCCCCGGTTGTCATGGTAACCACTCGTGGCGGGCGAGCAGGGGTTTAGGAGTGTGGAGCGTGGTGGGTGCCTCATCTCTCCCCTTCAAGGGCTGCTCGATAGAAAGCTTCCAGGAGGGGGAGGGGAGGGGGTGCGTTTTCCCAGGGAAGAAAAATGTTTTGAGTGCTAACAAGACGCCAGAAACGGAGCCTTGCTCCCCCGTCTCGCGACTGTCAACAACTCTGCGAGGTAGGTTACACGTTAGGAGGCCAGGTCTTTGAGAGGTCTCAGGGATCGCCCAAAATCGCACTGTCTACGTCACTAGTAGAGACCCTCGAGTGCCATCTCGCGGACCACATTACTGCAATTCTGGTCTTTTAATTCTGGTCTCTTCCCAACTCTGCCTCAGTATCATGACGATCGTCATTTCATTCACATCAGACACAGTGGTCTCTATTTGGTGGCCACAACCTCCGAAAACGTCTCTCCTTTCTGTCTCCTGGAGCTGCTTTCCCGGTGAGTCCGACTGGGACGGACACCTAAAGCGGGCCTGCGAAGTTTATTCGTTCACACGTTCTCACCTGTGTTTCCTTAGGTTAGCCACTCTCCTGGGTGACTACTGTGGCTCTCTCAGTGAGGGAACCATCTCACGGAATGTGGCTCTTGTCTATGAACTCCTGGATGAAGTGCTGGTAAAGCCCAAAGATTGTCCTCTTTTTCAAACTATGTATGTATGTGGTTGCACGTGTGTGGAGTTCAGAGGATAACTTGCTGGAGACAGTTTTCTTCTACTCTCTGAGTCCCTGGGATTGAACTCAGGTTGGCTGGCTTAGTAGCAAGCACCTTTATCAGTTGAGCCATCTTACAGGGTCCCTCTCTTTCTCTCTCTTTTTGTTGGACAGTTTGGGTATTGGCCCTTACCTTCTACCTGTTCAAGACAAAGTCCTTTGCTAGTCATTTTGGTGCATGCCTTTAATATACTAGCACCCAGCCAGGCAGTGGTGGCGCATGCCTTTAATTCCAGCACTTGGGAGGCAGAGGCAAGCGGATCTCTGTGAATTTGAGACCAGCCTAGTCTACAGAGGGAGTTCCAGGACAGGCTCCAGAGCTACAGAAAAATCTTGTCTTGAAAAACATATATAGGCCGGGCGGTGATGGCGCACGCCTTTAATCCCAGCACTCGGGAGGCAGAGGCGGGCGGATCTCTGTGAGTTTGAGGCCAGCCTGGACTACAACAGCTAGTTCCAGAATAGGAACCAAAAGCTACAGAGAAACCCTGTCTCGAAAATCAAAATAAATAAATAAATAAATAATATATACCAGCACCCAGAAGCAGATGGATTTGATTTTGAGGCAAACGTCGTCTACATAAAGAGTTTGAGGCCAGCCAGGGTTACTTACATAGTGAGATCTTATCTCAAAAAATTGGAAAAAGAAGTCAGGTGTGTGAGGTGGTGCACTGGGTGGCAGAGGCAGGTGAATCTCTGAGTTCAAGGCCAGTCTGTTCTACAGAGTGAGTTCCAAGGCAACCAGGGCTACACAGAGAAATCCTGTCTGGAAAATTGGGGGGAGCTGGGGAGAGAAGAAAGGGAAAGGCAAAAAGAAAAAGGGAAGGTCTCTTTGTTCTGCCATGCGCGCACACTAAACTAGCCTGCAAGCTTTCTGGAGTCTCCTGTCTCCATCCTCATCCCTAATGAGAACACTGGGATTACAGAGGCTCGTTATGTCCAGCGTTTTTTAACTTGAGTTCAGGTCTTCGCACTTGTTCAGCAAGCCCTTTACCCACTGAACCATCTCCCCAGTCCCAAGGTCTTCCCTCTCGTTCCCTGCTACCCTGAAGAAATGTCCTCTCTTCTATCACAGCGTTTTGTGGTTAGGAGGTTAAATTCACTCCATTTCACTCTTTCTGCCCATTAGGATTATGGCTATGTGCAGACTACATCCACGGAAATGCTGAGGAACTTCATCCAAACTGAAGCTGTGGTCAGCAAGCCCTTCAGTCTCTTTGACCTCAGCAGCGTCGGATTGGTCAGTGGCAGGGAAAGAGGGGGGCCAGGAGGGTCGGCTATGAGCGTCAAAGCTGAGGATTGATTGCCTTGGCTGCCTTACAGTTTGGGGCAGAGACACAGCAGAACAGAGTGGCCCCCAGCAGTGCTGCCAGTCGTCCAGTCTTGTCCAGTCGCTCTGACCAGGTAAGAGACAGATCAGTGGGGCCAGAACTGATTTTATTTTTTTATTTTTTTGTCCTAACACCTCAGAGTCCAAGAACTTGCTTATCTTTTCATTCCTTTGACATGGTATTCCTTCCATTATCCCTGGGTTTCTGTTCCAGGACTCTGCTTCAACTACCCTGTCCCTTCTACTGCCTCTTTTATTTTATGCATGTATGTATATGTGTGCGGTGCATGCATTTTGTGGAGGCCAAAGGACCAGGCCTTTGATGTCATCCTCAGGAGCGCCATTCACCTCCTTTGAGGCAGGATTTTCATTAGCCTGGAGCTTGCTGACTAGGCTGGGCTGGCCAGCCTGTCAGTGAGCCTTGGAGACTGTGTATCTTCACCTCCTAGTGTAGCTATTATAGGTTCACATCCCCACACTTGACTTTCACAGGGATTTGGAGGATCAGACTCACATGGCAAGCGCTTTACTGAGCAAGCCATCTCTGTAGTCCCTGTTCTTTTGTTGAGACATCTGGTAAATCAGGCCCTTACACTGTAACCCAGGCTGTCCTTGAATTCATGGCAGCCCTCCTACTTTGGCTTCCTAAACACTGGGATTACAGGCATGTGTGATTGTGCGTGGCATTGCCTATCCATTTTAGGACAGATTTTCAGTCTCTACTACTTACTCCCTCTCTTTTAGAGCCAGAAGAATGAAGTGTTTTTAGATGTGGTCGAGAGGCTGTCTGTATTGATTGCATCTAATGTAAGTCTGGGTTTTCACCCCTGGAGTTGAAGGGCCATGGTACTCGGGGAAGACTTAACTTCCTTCCCACCCCCAGGGCTCATTGTTGAAGGTGGATGTTCAAGGAGAGATACGGCTCAAGAGCTTCCTTCCGAGCGGTTCTGGTGAGGACCCATGGTTAAGTGTGGTACAGGCTTCCTGGTGATGTGTGTAGTGGTTTTTGATTCCCTTTTCTCATGTCCTTTCTTCCCAGAGATGTACATTGGCTTGACAGAAGAATTTTGTGTGGGAAAGTCAGAACTGAGAGGTAAAAAGAGCATGAATTTTTTTCTCTCCAAAAATATGGAAAAATGTTGGAAATGTCTCTTCCCTTCTGAACACAGTTCGGAAGAGCTACCTTCTTTTCTTTGCAGGTTATGGGCCAGGAATTCGAGTTGATGAGGTGTCATTCCATAGCTCTGTCAATCTAGATGAGTTTGAGTCTCATCGGATCCTCCGCCTGCAGCCACCTCAGGGCGAGGTCAGGTTCAGGGTGGCCTGGTGTATTCCACTCAGCAGAGGGGAGGGAGGAGGTGCCAGTGCAGGGCCATGCTGACCTCTTCCTCTCTGGCCTCAGCTGACTGTGATGAGATACCAGCTCTCTGATGACCTCCCCTCACCACTCCCCTTCCGGCTCTTTCCCTCTGTACAGTGGGACCGAGG